GGGTCCCAGTGTCAGCTCCACGGTGCCGGGAGGCTCCAGCCGCTCCGAGTGCCTCGAGCTTTCCTCCTTGACAGGAGCTCGTTCGCTGCTTTGAAGAGTCCCAGACCAAGGCCCAGGTCGCCGGGGGCATCCGAGATAAGGTTGCACAAACCTTCCCAAACCGCCTGACTGCTTCCTTCCGGCTCCTGTGTGTCACAGTGACGCGGGCTGCCAGCACAGAGCCATCCAGGCTCTGCAGCCGTCCCGAAGCGCCGTCCTTTTCTCATCCCCGCGGGACAAGTGCAAGCAGAACGACTGGGTTGATGCCATTCATGTTTTTACCATAGCCCTCACGCTTGGGAAGCTTGAACAGTTAAATCCCTGTTATATTGTGGAACTGAAAGTGGGAAACCTGATTTTGAGGAGAATTTGTCTTTTAACATCTCACCTTTAAGCACATTTAGGCAGGAGCCTGTGGAGATGCACATTTTCTATTTCGTTATGTGAGATCCTCCACTCAAAAAGTAAATGAATTCTGCCTGTATGCTAGGGGAACTTTGAGTTTCATATTGGGTTTTTCCCTCAACTTATTAAAAAAAAAAAGAAAGAAGAAATAGAAGATATTTTGAATAATTTATTCTCTCCATGAGTAGGGGAGGAAACCCTAAAGTAATTGGGAAACACAAGTTTGAAATGCAAGAGAGAAGAGAGCAACATTTATTTGTAATCCACTGCAAATAATACAAGTTGTAGCCACATGCTGGAGGTCAGACCTACAGCAGAATGAATGAAAAAATGAAGTGAAACAAGTGCCTGGTCCTGAGTGGCTTTGAAGAGTTCATAGGCGAAAAAAAGTTCTCAGATCTTTTATGTTTTCTCTTTGAGAAAGACCAAACCAGAACTTGGGAGCCTGTGACTGTTAAAAATTAATTAAAAACGCAATAGGATTCAAGTGATGAGTTGGAAGGACAGCTCAGTGACAGAATCCCTGAGTGCCTGGCATGGCAGGGATGTGATGTGCAGAGGACTCTCC